CTAATAAAAATAAATGGAAAAAAATAAAGAAAGGAAGGAAGGAGGTTTTCTGTTTGTTTTCTGGTGATCTGTTAATGTCAGTAAATTTGTCATGGTTTCAGGTATTCTTTAATTGTTTAATGTTTATTAGATTTTGCTAGTAAACTGAGGGTTGAGACTAAAAAAAAAAAAATTGGAGCTCATATTTATTGTCCCACTGTGTTATTTTACCACACACCAGTGATATTTTAAAATCAGTATAATTTGACAGGAAGCCTTATCTATCAGATATGACTTTCTCTAAGACTTCCTTAAGCAAAACTCTGATAGAATACATTTTTATGGCTCCACAGAATTTCTCACTTATCACAGCACTTACCAGCCCATAGTATGATCTGTTAAATGAGGGGACTGGCCTCATGATCTAGAGGGTGTGTACTGTATCACCTTCAAGAACTGAGCTGTCCTATATAGCAGATACTAGACACATGAGGCCACTTAAATTAATTGAACTTAAATAATATTAAAATTTTAGTTCCTCAATCATACTGGCCATATAACAAGGGCTAAGTACCCACACCTGACCAGAGACTATTGAATAGTGCAGATACAGGGCGTTTCCACCATCTCATAAAGTTCCACTGAGTGGTGATTCTCTGCAATATAGGGTCTATGAAAACAAGGAACTTAGCCTGTTTGGTGTCACAATTAAAGGCCTAGATATGTGGTATGCACTTAATAAGTGTTTGTATGTTAACATCACCATGTTCCCAGAAACTACTTGAATACCTGATAAATAGTAGATACTCAAGTATTTGTAGTATAATAAATAAATGGATGTGTCTGCATGTGTGAGAGTTTGAACTCAAAATATTCCAAAGATCAGTTTAAAAACACACTTTCATGACTGTAATCAGGAGTTGCTTGTAGCTATTTAGAAATGTTGCTTTTGGAAAATTGTGTTAAAACTTAAGTCTGTCATAAAAATTTATCACAGATTTGATGGCTCTTAAAAAAAAAAAAAAATGGTTCCCTTGCAATCTGGAAGGGCTTACTTGGTAGCTCAGTTGGTAAAGAATCTTCCTGCAGTGCAAGAGGCCTGGGTTTGATCTCTGGGTTGGGAGGATCCCCTGGATAAGGAAACAGCAACCCACTCAATATTCTTGCCTGGATAATCCCATGGATAGAGGAGCCTGGTGGACTACAGTCCATGGGGCTGCAAGAGTCTTAGTGACTAAACCAATCTGGAGGCCAGAAGTCTGAGACAAGGTGTCAACAGAAACATACTTCTTCTGAATGTTCTAGAAGGGAATTCTTCAGTGCCTCTTCTAGCTTTAGGTGACTCCAAGTGTTCCTTCACTTGTGACTGTATACTTCCAACTTCCTCCTCCATCAAGAAGGCCTCACAAGACTTTCTCTCCTGTGTGTTTCTTAAAATAAAAATTGTCACTGGATTTAGGCCCTATCTGAGTAGTCCAGCATGACCTTATCTTTCTATCCTTAACTTTGTGTACTTTTACAAAGTCTCTTTGTCCAAATAAGCCACATTCACACTTTCTGTGATTAGGATGTGGGTATATTATTTGGGAGCCCTCTCTCCATCCCACTATAAGGTCTTTAATGTCTTTGAAGAATTCATGAAAATATATGAATGATAGAAATCTCAGCATTTCTTTCAGAGTCAAAAGTGAATCTGAATCTAAATTACTGCATAATATGGAAAGAGAGAGAAGCAAGTTTAGGATGTGCTGGAAAATGAAAATATCATGAGTTAAAGTTTTTTTGAAATGCACATTGTTGGGACAACTTTTTCTTCTCAGGTACATTGGATTTGGACACCAAAATGAAGACAAACCTAGCAATGCTATGTTAGTGAAGGCTTCTGCCCCATCCTAAAAGAGCAAGGGGTCTGGAGAGCACTTGGGGTTGCTTTTAAAGTTCCCTGATCTTCATGCAGATCAGAAGCCCTGCTGCAGTTTACACAGAAGGATGTAAACTGGGACAGAATAGTCACCCCCTGGAGAAGGCTGCGCTTTTCCAACTCACAGCATCATATTTACTGTATGTTATCTCTGGATCTTGGGGTGAGAAATAGAAATTTGCTAAATGAAGATAAAGAGACCTGTCTTTGCTTTGGTTTATGGGCAAAAAGGGATCTCAACATGCTTAGTAGGAAATGACTCCACAGAATACATGTTTAAGATAGCCCTTATTCACTAATATTCTTGTCAAAGCAATTTTAAAAGAGGACCAGATACAAGAATATTTATAATAAATGGTTACAATTATTATCCTATGAGATTTTAGATAAGAAACAAATAACGCTGCCTGAACTGACCATGAATACTGAACACACATGCTCATTTTCACAATTACATGGAAAATTCATTCTGGCCAAAGAGGACAGCATCTGCAAAGGCTCTGACTTAGGAAAGAGTTTAATATGTCTGTCCATGGTTAGAATTTTAAAGTGGTTGATGTACATTAGGGAGTATGTGGTGGAAAGAGGGGAATGACAAAACTAGAAGCAATTCAGGGGAAAACTGTACACTGTCTTGTATTTCTTAATATAGAATTTGATCTTTGTATCTTCTAATGGTTCCTCACTACCCAACGATGACCAGGAAGTGATACGATTATATATACATTTTATACTAACTCTACAGTCATGTAGAAGTTAGATTCAAGGAGTTGAGAGTAAAGCCAGGAAGAAGCCTAAGAGGTCCCTGCAGTTAAACAAGATGGACCAAATGGCTGAATTAGAAGAGTAGCAAAGAGTTTGGAAATGAGGAGATGGATGTGGGTGCTACAGAAGAGATACACTGATGTGACCTTAATGTTTATGGAGGGTGTGTGCTTCATTCTACGCTGGTGCCCGTCTTCTGCAGACAGTGTGTTTACTCTAACAGGGCTATTTAAAAGGGCATGACTGTATCTCTATTAATAATCAAAATTAAACAGACTGTTTCAACTTCAGGTCTACTTGAGGATCTATATGCAGAACAAACTAGGTATGTTTCCAACAGTCGTGGCAGTCCTGCAGCTAGTAAAATAGAATTCTGAAGCATAAAAATTTTTAAGTCACTTTCCCAAGATCACTCAGCTAATGAGTGGCAGATTTGGAAATATAACCTAAGTTATTGTGTTCTGCTAATTTATCTAATTTATCTAAATTAATCTAATTTATCATGTTCTTACTGTTAGTGGGAAATCTGTTCATTAGAGTGCTATGTTCAGAGATTGGGTGTATGACTAACATGATAATATTAAATAAGTATGAAAAGTCATGTTTGCTATGATTGTTTGGTTTTTTCCCATTATTGAGTCCTGCTCCCACTTCTCGTCATATTTCTATACTACAAGAAATACAGAGCAGTAGACAAAATTCACTTACCAGAGGAAAAAACTCCCACCTCGTGCAACAGTTCCAAACTTTCTGTCCAAGTTAGCTTATTACTCTCCAGATTCAATTTATCATTTGAAGTCGATCAAGTTCACATCCGGCAGGCAAAAGATTAAAAAGCAGCCAGTTCTCCTGAATCCTCTCACTCCTGATTTCTGCATTGCGAGGTTTACCAACTGCTTCAGCAATGGCAGGTCCTATGGTGATTAGGCTTCTGCACAATTTTACCCACGATCACTGAGGGGAGCAAGGAGGCTAGTGTAGGCCCCACAAAATGTTTGAGTAGGACCCTAGGTGGCAATTCTTCAGCTTTCATTCTTGCTGCATGCACTGTGCTGGAACCTGATTCTCTAGGAGGGAAAATAGAAAAATTGCGATAAAGCATTCACCAAGGGGTGACATCGAGTAAAGATGTGAAGGAAGTTCAGAGATACACCGTGTGGGTGTTTTGGGTAATAGCGTCACGGTAGAGAGGGCAAGGCAAGGGACACAGGTCTTGATATAGAATGATTAAAGTGTTTAAGTAATAATATCTCTTCTTTCTCTGTAGCCACTTATTCTTCCTAGGACACTATTGCATAAGAAACTTGCTAAAGCATTCAGCTGAATATTCATTGGAAGGACTGGTTCTGAAACTGAAGCTCCAGTACTTTGGCCACCTGAGGCAAAGAGGCAACTCATTGAAAGACTCTGATGCTGGGAAAGAGTGAAGGCAGGAAGAGAAGAGGACAACAGAGGATGAGACAGTTGGATGACATCGCCGACTCAACGGACATGAGTTTGAGCAAACTCCGGGAAATAGTGAAAGACCCTGAAGCCTGGCATTCTGCAGTCCATGGGGTCGCAGAGTCGGGCACAACTGAGCGACAGAACAACAACAAAGCATTCAGCACTGTTACCTGGTTAGTGGATGATTTCCTCATTCTGATCCTGGGGCAACTATGTCTATGGTTTGGCATCTTCTTTCCTGGTTCCCTTTAACTTCCGGTTTTAACCAGTAATGTCACCACCATTGAGACGTCCAGCCACCCTGGGGTCAAGTGCTTCTCCGTAGTCCAAGCCTTTCTCTTTAGGAGCCCTTTGAGATGTTACACACTGCCTGGCAATAAAAATTAGATATGCTTATCACAGTTAGAAAAGTTATGTCTCATTTCTCACAGATTAAAAACTTGGGAACAATAAAATTATAGTTTTGATATTTTTTTTTTAATTTTTATTAGTTGGAGGCTAATTACTTTACATCATTACAGTAGTTTTTGTTATACATTGATATGAATTAGCCATGGATTTACATGTACTCCCCATCCCAGTCCCCCCTCCCACCTCCCTCTCCACCCGATCCCTCTGGGTCTTCCCANGGGAGCGGGCCCTGAGTTGTGTGCACTTCTCAGGCCCAAGCCTCTCAGGTTCAGGTTTTCGGGTACTCCACAAAGGCACAGACTTGGTTGGGCCTGCGTTTTGTGCCTTCCCCATCCGAGCAGCTCAGGCAGCCAGGAGCTTGACCAGCGCACTCTCCCCGGGTGCAATGCGCCGTATCCCTTCTGTGGTCCCAGACTCAGTTTCCACGCACTGGTCCGGTGCGCCTTGTGTCTCTTCTGGGAAGCTGATTTCTGGCTGTGACCCTCCTGGCACATGTCAACCATCCAGAATCTCAGGAAGTCTTTGGTTAGAGACTGGAAGCCTGTTTGCCGTTTGGTAGGGGGTGCCGTCTCTGGGGTCAAGTTTGCCCCTTTCCCCTCCTCGCTGTCTCCTGCCTCTGGCGGGGGATGGGGAGCCCGCAGCCTTCTAGCTCTTCTGTGGTATTTGCTCAGTCCTTTGTTCTGCGAACAGGCGGGCAGTGTGTTCGGTTAGTGTGGTTTTGCCAGTTAATTTTCTCTCTCTCTTGCTATCCCACAGTTTAAGTTGCTATCTCACATTAGCTCCCTCCAATTGCCCTCAAGGCATTAGGGCCCAGTCCTTACCCTAAGCAATGCCGCCTGCTCCTTTCCGTTCAGCCCCCACTTGCTGGTGGTGGATGCGAGCATCTGGGGTACTTTTCTGCTGGAAGTTACTTTTAGGCATGCAATCTGTGGGTTTTATTTATTTTTCCTCCAAGTTAAGTTGCCCTCCGAGATTCGAAAACTTCCCCAGACCCACCGGTGAGAGGGTTTCCTGGTATTTGGAAACTTCCTCTATTAAGACTCCCTTCCCAGGACGGATCTCCGTCCCTAACTCTATTGTCTCTGTTTTTATCTTTTATATTATGACCTACCTCCTTTCGAAGACAATGGGCTGCTTTTCTAGGCTCCTGATGTCCTCTGCTAGCGATCAGAAGTTGTTTTGTGGAGTTTGCTCAGCGTTCAAATGATCTTCGATGAATTTGTGGGTGAGAAAGTGGTCTCCCCATCCTATTCCTCCACCATCTTAGCTCCTCCAGCCCCATATGATTGTTTTAAAGTCAAAAACTTAAGACCGATAATGTATTAATAGAAAGTTATTCTGGACACCTGTTTCCAAATGACATGGAAGGAGTTTTTGTTTGGAATTAAATCCTCTGATCCAGACCACAGATGAAGCAACCACAGGACTACCCTTTCTTGTCTGAGGTCTGCAGGTGTGCATTTCAGCTGGGGTCTTGCAGCAGGGGGGCTCTCACTTATGACTCTGTGGGGTTTTTGTACAGCTTTTCCCATTACTTCAAGCACTGTGAGTTCCCATAGTGCACAAAAGTACTTTGCGGAGTCTTCCAGTTGTAAGGCTGAAATGGTGAGGCTGATGGAGTTCTGTGCTTTCCGAAAGTCTACAGAGTAGCGGCCGTTCCTTGCATTCGGGCCAGAAGATTCCTGACGAAGAAGGAAAGTCATCTCTCCACTGGGAAGCTGCTTGTACCAAAAAAGGTAGTGCGTGTACCTACTCCAACTTACTTCATACCGACAGTTCAGAATGACAGATTGCCCTATTTGACTGGTTATGTATGGCTGGTCTTGAGTAACTTTCTGGGCCACACCAGATCCTGTGGAAAAAATTAGAAAACCGAGCTGAATTGGTGAACAAAATAATGTAGGAATTAGAGTAATTTGAGACCCAACGTAAATCCAAATTGAAATCATAATAAATATGCTTTTCTCCAACCCTCCTTTCCTCCCCAAGTCCCTGTGAAGCACCATGTGCCTGTGTGCAGTCCTTCACCCTAAAGAGTCGCACCCATGTTTGAGAGCATCCCTACCAGAGAAGGTGAAGGCCAGGAACACCCAGAGCAGACTGGAAAGTGGCATGAGGCATGGATTCCCCTGCACAAATGTGCTCAGTTCTGCTTCAAGCTGAGAGCTCAGTGTCTTTGAGTGCCTGGCAGCACATATATATACTACCCGGTACCTGCATGACTCCCCCAAACAGGAAGTGGGGGTTGCCTTGTTCATAGATCACATGGTCTGTGCACAGATGAGAAAAAGTCTGACTCACCACAGACCTTTATTTTGTATACTTTTCTTGCTCTGGTCATGAATTACCTGGTCACTAATGACCTATGCAGTATCTGAAAGGGGCTTGAAAGAAGCAATTCTCATGAAAGGTTTGAGTTGAGCAGAACAGAAGAATAAACAAGTTGACATACATTGGTAATTATTCAGCAGAATAACTTTACCAGTCCATTTAAAACATAATTTAGTATATGCCATGAACCCTTCTTATAATCTATTTACTGGTCATCATTTAGCCTATGCCTACTTTCCTCCATCCAGAGTCTAATGACTCTTTTAAGAAGCTCAAAGACCTTCAGCTTTCTTAGTGAAAGGCAGTCTCATCCAAATAGTTAATATATCTCTTGTCTACTGGATTCTAAGGCTCTAGTTAGGTTTTCCTGTACATAAGTTACTTCAAGATCAAACAATAACAAATCAGTCCTTCTGACTTTCAGAATCTATTCCGTTATCTATGTTTTTATGAAATTATAACAGGAATAAAACATTTTTTGAAATCTGACATTGAATCTTACTTATTAGACTTTGAGAAGGATCAGGATATTCAGACCTGCTGCCTCCCAAAGTAGAATCATACTTATTAGATCATGTGTCCTAGAGTTGTCCTCATGTCACGTTTTCTATGTCATTGGCCCAAAGTGTTCAGCCTCACTTGTTAGTGGCTCATTATTTTTCTCTTTGTAAAATAAAGTCAGTAGAAGCATGCCAGATCTTTCTGTGACACAATGCTATAATGCAGTCCTGCCAAACTTGGTTTCTACAGGCTGCAGACACTTAGTATCTGTCAATACCACAGAAGCTGGTGACTGAAGTTCTGTACAGTTAAAAGATCATGTAGAATGTAACTGTCAATCTTCCATCTGGTTTCATTGTTTTAATGGAAAAATTAACATAAAATAGTCAAAGGCAAATAGACAAGTAGAAAGGAATACAGACAAGTTCTCTAAAACAGTGCCAGTTCTTTAATTTTAGGACAAGATAACTAGTGATGCAGGAATAATAGTGTATATTTAGTTGAGATGTCTACTCCTGTGTCTCATTTCACCTCAGAGCGCTGACAGGCAACTGATGCCCTGCTTTGCAATTATTTATAACTAAGTAGAAGAGACCATGGATGCCCACAGCAGCCTAGGCAGCAGCATGATAAAATGAAATATATATATTAACAGAATAATTATTCATACCGACAGTTCAGAATGACAGATTGCCCTATTTGACTGGTTATGTATGGCTGGTCTTGAGTAACTTTCTGGGCCACACCAGATCCTGTGGAAAAAATCAGAAAACTGAGCTGAAGTGGTGAACAAAATAATGTAGGAATTAGACTAATTTGAGAGGCAATGTAAACCCAAATTGAAATCATAATAAATATGCTTTTCTCCAACCCTCCTTTCCTCCCCAAGTCCCTGTGAAGCACCACGTGCCTGTGTGCAGTCCTTCACCCTAAACAGTCACACCCATGTTTGAGAGCATCCCTACCAGAGAAGGTGAAGGCCAGGAACACCCAGAGCAGATGGGAGAGCGGCATGAGGCATGGATTCCCCTGCACAAATGTGCTCAGTTCTGCCTCAAGCTGAGAGTTCAGTGTCTTTGAGTGCCTGGCAGCACATATACGTACTACCCGGTAGCTGTGTGACTGCCCCCAACAGGAAGTGAGGGTTGTCATGTTAATAAACCACATGGTCTGTGCACAGATGAGAAAAAGTCTGACTCACCACAGACCTTTATTTTGTCTACTTGTCTTTCTCTGGTCATGAATTACCTGGTCACTAATGACCTATGCAGTATCTGAAAGGGGCCTGAAAAAAGCAATTCTCATGAAAGGTTTGAGTTGAGCAGAACAGAAGAATAAACAAGTTGACGTACATTGGTAATTATTCAGCAGAATAACTTTACCAGTCCATTTAACACATAATTTAGTATATGCCATGAACCATTCTTATAATCTATTTACTGGTCATCATTTAGCCTATGCCTACTTTCCTCCATCCAGAGTCTAATGACTCTTTTAAGAAGTTCAAAGACCTTCAGCTTTCTTAGCAAAAGGCAATCTTATCCAAATAGTTAATATATCTCTTGTCTACTGGATTCTAAGGCTCTCGTTAGGTTTACCTGTACATAAGTTACTTCAAGATCAAACAATAACAAATTAGTCCTTCTGACTTTCAGAATCTATTCTGTTATCTATGTTTTTATGAAATTATAACAGGAATAAAACATTTTTTGAAATCTGACATTGAATCTTACTTATTAGACTTTGAGAAGGATCAGGATATTCAGACCTGCTGCCTCCCAAAGTAGAATCATACTTATTAGATCATGTGTCCTACAGTTGTCCTCATGTCACGTTTTCTATGTCATTGGCCCAAAGTGTTCAGCCTCACTTGTTAGTGGCTCATTATTTTTCTCTTTGTAAAATAAAGTCAATAGAAGCATGCCAGATCTTTCTGTGACACAATGCTATAATGCAGTCCTGCCAAACTTGGTTTCTACAGGCTGCAGGCACTTAGTACCTGTCAATACCACAGAAGCTGGTGATTGAAGTTCTGTACACTGTTACAAGATCATGTAGAATGTAACTGTCAATCTTCCATCTGGTTTCATTGTTTTAATGGGAAAATTAACATAAAAATAGTCAAAGGCAAATAGACAAGTAGGAAGGAATACAGACAAGTTCTCTAAAACAGTGCCAGTTCTTTAATTTTAGGACAGGATAACTAGTGATGCAGGAATAAAAGTGTATATTTAGTTGAGATGTCTACTCCTCTGTCTCATTTCACCTCAGAGTGCTGACAGGCAACTGATGCCCTGCTTTGCAATTATGTATAACTAAGTAGAAGAGACCATGGATGCCCACAGCAGCCTAGGCAGCAGCATGATAAAATGAAATATATATATATATTAACAGAATAATTAAAGATAAAAATATAAAGAAATTGATATTGATAAATTTTCATCAAAACACAGAACTTACTCTGATTCACCAGTTTTTACAGGCACTTTTTTGATGCATAACTCTATGAAATTTTATCATATGTGTGGGTTCTTGTAACTGTCACAGAAATCACAATATAGAACTGTCCCATCATTCTAAAAAATGTCTCTTTGCACATGTTCTCACCCCTGCAATCCCTGATCACCCCTGGCAACTACTGCTCTCCTTTTCATTTCTATATTTTTCCTTTTAAGAATGTCATGTAAGTAGAATCATACCTTATGTATGGAATCATTATGGATTATAATCATACAATCCAATAAGTGTTATACATCAGTAGCCTTCTGAGATAGACTTTTTTCCACTCAGCATAACACTCTTGAGATCAATCTAGCTTATTGCATGTCTCAGTAGTCTGTTCCTTTTAATCACTATAGACTTTTCCCAACTAAGGATGGTTTGATTACACTTATTGACTTTATGGTAGTGAGAAAGCCATATGCATTCCGTTGAGAGCATACTTTAATTTTGATCTTTCTTGGGCTAACACCATGCAGTATGATATTCTCAGGTGATGCTAGGAGTGAGCTGAGCTTCTAGTCAGGCCCAGAATCAGGAGCATAAACAACATTTCTGTTCCCATACAACCTTTCTGTTTTTCACTCTCAGTTCAGTATTCAATAAATTACATGAGGTTTTTCTATACTTTCCTATAAAATAAACTTTGTGTTAGATGATTTTTCCGAACTGTAAGTTAATGTAACTGTTGAGCATGTTTAAGCTAAGCTAGGCTAAACTAAGGTGTTTGGAGGGTTAGATGTAGCAAATGCTTTTTTCTCCTTAATACAATATTTTCAACTTACAATGGTTTATTAGAACATAACTCCATCATAAGTTGAGGAAGATCTATAAATAGTATGTCTATTTATTCATCAGTTTACCCAATGAAGATGTTTGGGCAGTTTCCAGTTTGGGGCCATCACAAATAGAGCTACCATGAATATTCATCTACAGATTTTTGTATGAACATAAGTTTTTTTTATTTCTCAAGCATTAATACCACAAGTGTGACTGCTGAGTTGTAAGGAAAGTGGGTATTTAAGTTCTGGCAATGATACAGAGAAACTGGATCACTCATGCATTGCTGGTAGGTGAATGGTACAGTCATTCTAGGAGACGGTACATTCAGTTTCTCTGCATCATTGCCAGAACTTGGTATTGTCAGTACTTTTAGTTTTAGCCTTTATGACACATGTGGAGTGCTATCTCATTGTGTCTCTAATTTACATTCCTTAATGGATATTGATGGTGAACATTTGTTCATATACTTATTTATACACTTTTATCCCTACTACATATCCTGTTTGGTAAAGTGCCTTTTGGTAAAAGTGCCTTTGGTAAAAGTGCCTTTTAAAGTGTCTTTTGTTCATTTTTCAACTGGATTGTTTGTTTTCATCCTGTTGAGTTTAGGAGTCCATTGTATTCCGAATACCACTCTTTTGATGGAAGTATAGTCTGCAAACATTTCCTACCATTCAGTGGTTTGTCTTTTTCATTCTTTTAATAATAACTTTCACAGAGCAATTTTTTTTTAATTTTAGTGAAATCTAAGTTTTTTTATGGATTGTGCTTTTGGTGTCATGTCAAAAACATTTTTGCCTAACCATATGTTATAAAGATTTTCTCTTCTGGTTTCTTCTAAAATGTTTATAGTTTTACATTTGAATGTAGGATCCATTTTGAGACTGAATTCAATGTTTTATATAAGGTGTGAGATTTAGGCCAAGTTCCAATTATTTGCATATAAATATCCAACTGTCCCAGTATCATTTGCTGATAAAACTGTCCTCTGTTCAATTGTCTTTGCACCTTTGTCAAAAAAATCAATTTTCCCCACTTGTATGGGTTGACTTCTATA